TCTCACACCAGGATGTCCAGTTTAGTCAGAGACTCGGATCGTGAAAATATGGAGCTGTCGGTAAAACCAACAGGATGGAGTCTTCAAACTTCTGTTCCTGTTTTAGTTACAGGATGGAGTTTAATCGTCAACTCTGGGAATTTTACTCAACTGTCAGTTGATGTGTCCAAAACTGAGCGAGGAGCAGAGACAGCAGCGACTAAAAATCACTAAAACTCTTTAAAAGAGTTTAAAGACGACGACTTCTTCCATCTCTGTGCGTTAGAGTGATTATCGGCCTTGCTGTGTTATCAGGCTGAGATTTGGCATTTGGACGATTATCTCTAACAGCTTTTTATAATTAAATTCATGTATGAGCTGTTCGGCTCCACTGTCAGTGTGTCTGTGTGAAGAGCTCCTGGACTCTGACCGGCTCTGATGAGTCAAAGTGGACCAAGATCCTGTCCTGCAATCCAGGCGATGCCAACAGATTGACAACCTGCTGCACCAGCTCTTAATGAGCTGTACATCAGAGGAAACTGGCTTTTAATTTAAGATAAATTAAATCATCATCATCATCAGCCCGGTGATGAAGTTGTTATGATCGTCCTGCTCACCTGCTGAGATGCTGATTTGCATAACCACCTGTTTAGTATTAATTATTTGTCCATCCAGCTTTGGTTGACTCATGTGTGACCGGTGTGAAATGTTGATTAGTAGGGGTGTGACGACACACTCAGCGAGAAGAGAGAGAGACAAGAGTTTAAGAAAACTACAACGACTAAATATACGAGAGGACTAACAGACTTTTATCTGACCGAGCTGCACGTGTATTTTGACATTTTTTATTATAACTCTTTACACGCATGACGTAAGCGTGAGCTTTTAATTAACTAAAACTAAAATTAAATAATTTAAATATTTCTCCTCTTTTTTTAAAGTGCAAACTAAATTCTGTGCCAAACTAAATCTTGTTTTTTCTTCACAGGTGCAGTTGTTGATTTGAGTACTGAGTTGTGGCGATGCTGTACGTCTCTGCGTCATCGTGGTCATATTCGCCCATGAGCACAACAGTGTTTTCAGTCAATGCTTGTATATTGTCCGTGTCTCATTATTTACTCTACAGCCAGTCACCAAAATGTTGCCAAACAAACGATTTAACAGTAGCGAGGACATCTTCAGTGGTAATACCATATTTTCTAACGTCATTCTGGCCGCTTACTGTTTCCCCTCCTTCTCCTTCTTTAGGTTCTGGCAGGCTAGACGTGAAGGCGCATTACTGCCCCCACAGGTCACAAATAGAAGTTTGGATAGCTCACAAATCTCACCAGACAGATTTTAAACGCGACGAGACACAGAGATCTTGTCACATCTCTATCAATAATCGCTCCATAAATAATGGGAACTCTCTGTGTTTTGGTGAATCCTGAGCTAACTTGCTAACAGAACTCTCTGGATCGTAAACTCGACTGTCATCTTTTCACATTTTTAAAACCCCGGCTGCTGTCATCCCAGATTTGCTTTCTTGCTTCTTCACAGCATGTTCTCTGTCTTTTTTAGAGCCTGACTCCTGAATATCTGTAAACACAGGCCTTCAGGTGACCCTGCTTAGAGAAACACTCCTCAGAAACCTCCGTCACACCTCTCCTGACAGCCTCATCCCTCATTTCAGAACTGGGAGCTCCACACCTGCTAACTGCAGAAACAGTCTCACAACTCAGGTCAGAGACAGCGTACTGACAGTCATCATCAGGAGGAGGAGGAGGAGGAGGGAGACGAAGAGGAGCCAGCAGGAAGAAAACAAAAACAAAAGTCCTAACCTTGAACACAGGAGCTCTCAGAGGGGGGAAAGACAGAGCCTGGAAGAGCCGCTCCGTCTGCAGGGTCATCGAAAAGACGAGTGAGTCGGAGGGAAACGTCGACGAAGACGCAGATGTTTGACTGAGGCTGTATCTGACATTAGAGATCAGAGCTGTCAGCGACGACCAGCTGAGACGACCAGAGTGAAGACCTGTCTCACAACAGTGTTCGTGCACATCACACAACTACACATCACACAACTACACACTTTCAGACAAATGTTCACGTCAGCCGTGTTTATATGTGTGGATACGATGGGGTTGAATTGGAAACATGAGTATTGAATCTTATTTAAATGCAGTTTTTTAGATATTTCAAACTGTGAGACAACTTCACTCATATGTATTAAAAATGAATAATTAAGAATGAGAGGACTGATGGTAAACTCGCTGTCATTCTCCAAACTACAGCTCATGTTTTTATTGACATTTTACAATTAAAGGAGCAGAAAGAAAAGTCCAGTTTGAGCTGGTTCTGGACCCTCCTGATGTACGTCCTATCACACCTCACTTATTATGAGAACTCTGTTCACACCTACCTCCCCTGTGAACGTACTAAAAGTCAGTCTTGTTTTCCTCTGTAGTTTATAAAATATCAGTGTTTAATCCGACCTGTTGAAAACTTGTCGCAGGAACTTTAAAATCAAACTTTTAAAAATTTTCTTCCGCTGCTTTAAAACACATCTGTGGAAAATAAGCAGCTGACAGTCATCACTGAACTCTTAAAGCAGCTTTTACATACAAGACGAGCTCATATCTCACAGATTCAAAGACCCACTCCGATAAAAATCTTGTTTTTCTTGTTGTCTACACGTTCATATGTTCTTTTTTCTGACGCTACAGGACACATCATGAGAAAAGTAAGAGTGAAATTATATTTCTGAGTATTTCTGCATTTAAAAAAATCTCTGTGAATCTCTGACAGATCCAAACGGCAGGATCGGGTACAGGGAGATTTCTTACATCACAAATCCAAGCTCCGCCCCCAAAGCCCCGCTATCCAGACTTGGATAAATATAGAGGACGATCACGGAAAAAGCATGTGTGTTAGCGGAACACAATACTCCTAAGAAAGCTAATTATGATATTAACTTTCATCATGTCCCCAAAGACATTAGAGTCAGAGAAGAAAAAGGTAGATCGCCTTCTCCGGGTCAGAGGGGCGGTCCTGCCTCAAGTGGAGGAGTTCAAGTATCTCGGGATCTTGTTCAGGAGTGAGGGTAGGATGGAGCGGGAGATCGACAGGCGGATCAGAGCGGCGTCAGCAGTGATGCAGACGATTAACCGATCAAGAAAGAGCTGAGCCGTAAGGAGAGACTCTGGATTTACCGGTCGATCTACGTGCCGATCCTCACCTATGGTCATGAACTTTGGGTAATGACCGAAAGAACAAGATCACAGATACAAGCGGCTGAAATGGGTTTCCTCCTCAGGGTGTCCGGGCTCAGCCTTAGAGATAGGGTAAGGAGCTCAGAGGAGAACCGCTGCTCCTCCACATGGAGAGGAGTCAGCCTGGGAATCCCCCCGGAGGAGCTGGTGGGAGTGGCCGGGGTGAGGGCCGTCTGGGCTTCCCTCCTGAAGCTGCTGCCCCCGCGACCCGGACCCGGATGAAACGGAAGAAAACGACGACGAATTATCAGAAACATTTCAGGAACAAAGACAAACTGATCCGTCACAGACACTCAGGACAGTTGAACTAAAGTGAACTTTACATTTATATAAATAAGTCGAGGCGTTGTGCGTTTTTCTTCTTCTTCTTCCTGATAGTTTTTCTTCTCGTCGCAGCGACACAGACGTATGTGAACTACAGGAACAGATCATGGGAACTGTTTCTTCTGCTGCTATTTTCGCTGCTCTGCTCACGTCCAAACAGGTCTATTTTGATTAAACGCTCGCTCTCATTAGGATCACTTTATTCAACAACTGTGAAAACAGCAAAGCTCGAGTCTATTTTCAGAATTAAACACAACGAGGGCGTTGAAAGGAGCAGCTCCGTGTACTTTTACATCATTATTTTGTTCGTTCAGACTTTAACTTCTTCTCCAAGTTCATGAGGATTCAACTTAAGCGCCTCATTATCTGTTTTTCTGATGACTTAGTTGAGCACAAAGCTTACATCATCTTTTAATCTGATTTTAACGCCGCCGCCGCAGCAGAAGAAGAAGAAGAAGAAGAAGCTTCATTAACATTCGGTTACGTTAGAAAGATGGAAACAGAGATCTCAAAAATGTGTCTGAACTTTGATGAAGAGAGGAAAGTTTGGGAGGAGGTTTGATCGTTGCTACAGAGGCAGGTCTGCTAACAGCTGAGGAGATCCTCCTCCACCTGGTTAACCCCACACTCCTCGGAAAAAGACACAAAGGGATTCTGATCTAACACTTTCTGGCGTTCTTCACAGGGAGGGACAATTTCTGCTCTCTGAAACCGGAGCTGACAGTCGGCCCCGTCATGAATTATTCAGCCTGAGGTACACAGGACACCAATACAGAGAGGTGGTTTTTATCTCCACCGTGACGGCCGATAAAAAAGAGATGGAAACCTTTCAGGACTGGAAATATAAAACATGAAATTCAGCAGATTTCTGCAGCTCAGGATGGAGTAAAGAAGACGGATGAAGGACTTTAAATAGTTTGAATTATTGTATTAACATCCGTCACCCACAACGTTAAGTCTCCATATAAATAACAGAATATTAAAAACTATACGGATTTTTTGTTTCTCATTAACAGAAACAAACGTCTGTGTTTCTCTGCGACAGTCTTCACTCTCTCAAGTGTTCGGAGAGTATTTCACATTTCATTACAGATCTGTTTGGAGCGCACTGCAGCAGGAAATGAGATTCCTTCTTCTGCTGAAATTGAATGTGACCAAACGAAGAGGAGTGGAGGAAGCTGGAAATGAGATGATGGAGTGAAGGATCGCACAAGTTCAGCTGGACTGTAAATAAGTTCTGCCGCTTGAGAGGAAGGAACACAAAAAAGAGCTGGAAGCTTTTTGTCCACTTCAGCGCGTCCTCATCTTCAAAGTATCTCCAGAAATCTCTCGACTTCGACGAGGAAGACGAATCAGACAGAAATGTGAGTTTCCATGTGACCACGTCTCCTTAAAGAAGGGTCTGTGGTTGAAACGCCCGAAGCTTCTGTAAATACGACATATTTTTGTTCAGCTAATTTCAGAGCCGAAGCTCCGTCTGTAGGAACACGGCGGGGTTTCTCTGGGCGGCGTGCTGCTGGCTGCCCGTAGAGCAGACTCCATGCAGAGGCAATAATCTCCACAAATACAGTCCATCGCCATCTCCAACACCGCAGGAAGTGACCCGGAGCGCTCCCACCACATGGCAGAGCGCCACAGCAGCCATGAATCATCCGCTGAATATATTCTCAGCGTGTTTCTTCTTCTTCTTCCACACATACAGAGGTTTCATTTTTGTCTTTTTCTTTTTGAGTTTGAGCCACTTTGTGTCGGTGTTTGTTAAAGGAGAATATTTGCATCGTTTTCGACTCTCTAGTTTCTATGAAAAGATTCAAACTCACCTGTGAAGCTCCTGAGCTGAACCTCTTCTCTGTGGGCCGGTCCTGTGGAGAGAGAAAAGAACAGAGCTTCAGATCCAGGGTGGGTTTTATATATTTTTACATGAAATCTCAGAAACAGAGAACAAAAACTGATCATGGACTAGACGAGACATAAAGTACACTTATGAAATATAAAGTAGATCCAGTTTTACCAACGTCTTGTAATTTACTGTATATCCACACACTGACTGTAGTAGGCCTGCACGATATATCGTTTGAACATCGTCATCGCGATGTACGTGTGTGCGATAGTCACATCGCAGAGCCTGCGATATTGGAGGTGAATGAACTCATTTAGTTTCAAGGGTAACCGACTGAGATACACTCCATGTGACTCTGCATGTGCTGTGCAGCGATCCACCAATCACATTCGTCCTTAACTCAGTTGCCAATCAGACTCACTTCTCAGTTGCCAATCAGACTACCCTGCCAGCTGTCAATCAAAATCAGGGAGGAGGAAACCCACCCCTGCACATGTTCTGCACATGGAGGGAGACGTGTGTCCGCTGAGAATTACTTTCGGGACTTTACTCATGACTGTTAAGCCCAACAAATAAGAACTGTATGGGTTTTAAATTGTACATTTCCGTGGACCACTCTACTATAAGCGGTGCGCGTTTTGCGAGGTGCATGCAATTCTCGGCGGACATGCGTTTCTCGGCACAACACCGCTAACAACAACAACAACAACGATCGCAAAATGAGCAACGAACAAGCGAAAACCACCGAAAATGAAGATTTGTTGCCAAAAAGAAAAGGAAAGTCAGTTATCTGGAATTATTTCGGTTAAAAGAAGGATGATGTCGACCAAAACACGTCTTCTGTGTTCATCTGTCGCCACAATAACGTCCCAGCACAATAAAAGCTAAAAATATCTCTGAGACAGACAGAAGCCGTTCTCTAACATTCACAAAAAGAGGAAAGATCAGAGCAGATTAACTGTCCTCAAGATTTCAGCAGTGCAGTATAACATTAAGTGCTATTCAGGTCATCTGGTGAAAATACTGTATTTTTAATATCGCAATATATATCGCAGGGTTGAGAAAAATCGCAATATTAGTTTTTTCCAATATCGTGCAGCCTTAGACTGTAGGGAACAGAAAAATACCAACATTTCACAGTTTGATTGTCTTGTTTCTTGTCTTACTTCAGATTGTGAAAATTCAGAGGGAAACACCGCTATAACTGCCGACAGAAAAGTCGAAAAGATCTTTATTTCAACTCCAAAACCAATGATGTCACATCACTGTTGTCATCTGTCTCAGTAAAATGAAGTCACACATTAGCTCGTTTCTGCCTATTTGTACCGTCCGCCATGTTTTTTTCTCTGTCTCTGTTCCCGTTCACGTAGAGTGGCACTAACAAGCCAAACAAACAGACACAAACGCAAAAATTTAACATTATAGGGCCGGCGATAAACCAAAAATCTACCGATACTGAAATTTACGACAATAACTGACGTCATTTTGCCCGTATCGGTGTATTCATTGTAAGAAAACAAATAAATCAAAGTAGGTTTTGGATGTGTGTAGGTAGGCTATGGTCTCATGTCCCTTTAAGACGCTGTCCTACATCAGAGACGTGACTCCACCCCATCCAGTCAGTAACAAAGAGGGAAAGACAGGTGAGGAGATGGAGGACGGAGAGAAAGTTGTAGCAGCTGAAGTAGACGAAGTTAATGTGGGAGGGGGTGAGCAGCTTGTGGAGTAGTTATCGTCCATTTATCGTTATCGAGGTGAACTGATCAATATATCGGGATATTGATTTGAGGCCATATCGCCCAGCCCTAATCTGAGGGACATACCGTTATAACTCCTGACAGAAAAGTCAAAAATTTCTTTATAGAAACTCCAAACTGACTGTTTCATGACTGTTATCTGGCTGCTATTGTTACTGGTTACCTCATTTATCCGTTGCATGGTTACCATAGCAATTAATTGCGAATATTACATAGATTGGACCGCTCTACTTTTGCTACTAAATGTCATATTTCTCACATTTTACCACTTTTAAAGTTTTTCATAAACTCCGTTTGGATGTGTGAGTACAGATGATGTTTTTTCCTCAACAATGAATCCTTATTAAACTTAATAGGGATTCAGTTTGTTTTGATATGAATCATTTATTCACTACAATATGTCACACATCCCCAAGCTGATAAAAAAAAAAAACACCCTGAGCCTGTTTGCTTTGAATCGAACCAGCAGCTGCAGAGTCGCACGTCATGAATATCAATTAATAATAAAGTGGAGCTGTGAAATTAGCAGGGCGGCTCTATTGTGTAGGTTAATGGAAGCTCAGACAAGCGTTTTAACTGGAGGGTTAATGCCAGAGCTAAGCCGGCATGACAATCCTGTCCTCCAGCTTGAATCATAAATACAAAGAAAAAGTGTGTGTGGGATCATTTGATTGGTTAAAATTATTCATGAAACACAGGAATGATTAAATTGGATAAAAGCAGGCGAACACGCACAAGGACACAATTATTTTCTCCTCAAACATCATTTTGTTTACTTCTAAATTCGACATCGGTGGTTTGAAAAGGCCGGCCTGGAACATGAGTGAAAAAAAAAAGTCAGACTTTTATCTTGTGTAACATCCCTCTTTATTATTGAACAGAGAAATGAAGAGGGACGCTGCGAACAGCCCACTCCTGACACGACCACACGTCCCTCTGAGCCTCGGAGATTCATTATGTCGAGAGAACTGTCAAATGAACATGAGTGAGCCGCACATTACACTTACACATACTCCCTCATTATGGAGACTCTGGATCATGTAATTTATTCCAAATCAATTCTCACATACGCGGCTCCACTGCAGAGAACCAGGACATTGACTTTTCAGCAGCAAACAACCGTTATTAGAGAAATCTAACACCGTCTTTATTGGTCTGCGTTTGCTCCACAGTTCACGCATCAGGATTCGAACCGCATTAGTGACAACGTGACAAAAAACAGGGACATAAAGAAGACATAAGGTTGGAGGAACAGAATGTACAGAGCTGTAGAGTTGTGAGGGTTTCATTATTCTGCACAGATCCAGTTATAGTGTGTTTGTCGATTGTTTTGGTTCATGACTGCGAAGGAAGGGCGCAGGACTAGATGAGCTTTTTGCTTCATTCTGTTCCTTCTCAAACTGTTTATGTTTGACATACATATGTTGTGTTAACTTATATTTGACGTGTTCAGTTGTTTGATGTATGGATGTATTATTTTGTTCAGTGTTTTTGTTTCTAGTTGTGTTTTTTGTTGGTCTTAAAGTTTGAGAGAAATAAAGAAGAAAGAAGACTTGTTTACTGAAACGCCGTCAACTCGGGTGTCACGTCATTGCCAGCTCTGACTTCCAAGGGAACTGTAGCGCAGCATTAGCCTCATGCTAACAGCTATGATGTACACGTCCGCTGTGCTGCCAATTACCAAACTTAAAACCTAAATATCTTTAAAACAAATGTATTTAAAGTAAAATAAAGTCACTCCTCTAAGAGTGTGTGCAGAGATAACTGAGTTATAAAAACCAACACTGTCGGCTGTAAACACGTTTATTTTTGCTGTTAAAATAGGCTTTTTTAGTGAGTGTCTATGTGGTTTACGGTGCCTCTGCAGCCAGCCTCTAGTGGACACCAGTGGAACTGCACCTCTGTGTCTGCTTCATTCATCAAGACTGGAGGTTGCCAAGCTTTAAAGTCCAGGACCCCCCCTTGGACTGGGTTCGAGTGGTTCTGGTCAGCTTTGTCTGTTTTGCCTCAAATTTCAGAGCAGTTCAACTTTTTCTTCCCCACCCCTACGAGTCTACAAACCCTTGTGTTTTTAGGACTTTGAGTTTTTCCTCCTAAACATCGACCGTAATTTAAACTTCTTAAATTACTTTACAGGGTTTTAACAGTCCCACTTGAACATTGAGTCTGAACTCTTTGGACCAACAAACTTCCATCAAAGCGTTTCGGTGTTTCCCTGAGCACAGCTGCCTGAAAGCTGAGGGTTAAAAACTACAGAGAAAATGTGTTGCCTGGTCTTTTCTAAGGAAAGGTCCAGCAGAAGAGCAGCTGCAGCTTTATCCTTCAGAGGCTAAAAATCTGTTTCTCTGTAGTTGTTTTTGTCACTTTGAGACCTGACCTTTACAGCAGCTTCTACACTTAGCTGAACAAAACTCAGGTTTCAGTATTTCAGAAGGTGGAGAGAAACAGCATCACTGTGAGGTGATTCAATCAGAGTTTAGGAGAATACTGCGGCTTACAGCTGGTTTACTCGATCATTGTTGTGGGTGTTGTTCACATCAGAGTGTTTTTAAGAGTCTTTTTCAAAGTTACTTCAGAGGAGTTTTTACCCTTTATATGTTTATTTGACTTTATCCTATTTTAACAACGAACTGCTGCTGCTGCATTTCCCCTCAGACAACATCCCACTCCAGGCCTAATTCCAGCCATTAAAGCCATTATCACTATCAGCAGCACTATTACTGATATATATCTGGTGGGTGCACTCGTCCTAATTAACAGAGAGAGCTGAAGTTAATTAGGCTGTCCAGCAGCCATATCAAATTACCTATTCGACTTATTAGAAAAAGAAGAATGAGTGTAATTGAGTCATCCTAAAAGGTAATCACGACCCGACGATGAGAAAAATGAGAAAGTCAAGTTTTCAGGTGTGAGAGAGTAATAATTGAAGAAAATTAGAATTTCTGATCATCCTAAAGAGCCAATTGAGTCATTATGGAGAAGTGAACTCAGCTGACTCTGATTTTAATGGACGATGAGATTTCACAGCAGGACTCATCTTCATCTAATAATCCAGGAAAAATCAGCTGATTAGCGTTTTGTTCCTCCTGTCAGATTCACAGCATGCAGAGAGAAAAACACAAACACTGCTGAGAGACTGCAGCTGGAGGAGCCGATCAATACAAACCAACAAAAAAATTAGAAATCCGGATTTTCTACACACACCTCTGCAGACATCTGGAGCTCGGAGCCTGTTTGCATAAGCAGCTCACCTCCGCAGCGTGTTCAGAGCGCTGGGTTTTATTGGATTTCACCCCCCAGCTCTGGCATGAGGGGAAAAAAACACTCAGCATAGCAGAGCGACCAGCGCATGAGCACAAGGTAAACTTGGTTATCAGTCGAGGTGGGAATCACCAGTGTCCCCACAATACAATATTATCACGATACTTCGGCCACAATACCATATCATTGTGATTTTTAGCATTTGCAGTACACTGAGTATTGTATTGCAATTTATACAATTTTTTCAACTGTTCAGCTAATTTAGCATTTGTCTTTCCTTTACGTTTGTTTTATTTACGTTGTATTTTATATTCATGTAGCACATCTTGCTAACCTTTATATATGTCCCAAACTTCAGGAGTTCAGGAGCTTTTTTCCCTGCAGAAAACTTGGATGTTAAACATCATGTTTGGTTTTCCTGGGAGTGCAACAATAACACACAAACACCCGAAGAGAGGGGAACATAGATGTCTCTCCTTTGAACATCTACTCTGACATTTCGACACTTTTCTGTCTCTCACCTTCTAACCTTGAACACGTCATCTGTGCCTCCATCTCTTTCTCTCTCTCTTCTGCGACCACTGAATAATGGAGCATACTCTTACCACGTTACCATAGAAACTACACCAAAACAAAACCATGTCTTACAGTTAACTCAGGTGATGTTGAAAGGACAAAATAAATCTTGAATTTTTAATGCTGCGTTTTTTTAAGTTTAAAAGGTCAATGATTAGTTTTGAAGCTGACAGCCAAATAAAGGTCATTATTAAATCTATCACCAGGTTAATGTATTCAACATTTTAACAATAATACCAACTGTCAGCACGGTCATTAGACCATTAATGTTAATCATTAAATGTTAAAATTTAAGTAATTCTCCACCTTTTCGTCACTAATTCTGATTTTAAACTGGGTGATACGACGTTTTCCCTCAAACCGCATGATACCAAAAAACACATCAGTCACTTCCAAACAGCTGAGAGTCTTTAAAAAACAAACAATGTTTGATTTAGAGGTGGGTACAATTTATCAACGTGTCCATTCATCACAATGCTTCATGTGACGATTCGGCATCGATTAATTAACGTCGATGCTTAAAATCAATAAAAAACACATAACTGGAACCTTGACACGTGCAACCTGGACTGTTTAGTGCGTGGGTCCAGAACAAGTTTCCAGAAGTTTCTTTGCAAAATGGCAACAGCTTCAGCAGCCTCTAGAGAGCGGCCGAGTCTCTCGCCACCGAGGTTAACTGCAACCGTGTGGAAGAACTTTGGATTTATAAGAGAGCAAACAAGACGACTGACAAGACCTTTATACAGTCTACGACAGTTAAACTGTGTAAATCCAGTCAGGTGACGTGGTTAAAGTCTCCTGATATTACTACGAGTGCTTCAGGATGTTCAGTCTGTATCCTAGCAACAGCATCAAGAAGAACATCCCACAGAACTTCAGCCGTTGCCTTGGGCAGGATGTAAACACGTGGTGGTATGACTGAACTCCCTTCGTTTGTTTGTTAATTCGTTAGGATCCTCATTAGCTGTGCTCTGGAGCACCGCTAGTCCACCTGGGGTCCACATTTAAAAAATTATGTTTATGATCACAACGTGAAAAAGACAAGACGGATCAGCAGGAACCCGTCAAAACACAATAAAGTCGAAGGGCAACTGCCAATAGTCCAAATTCTGAACAACACGACTTCTCCTTGACGGTTACGTGTGAAGAGTTTCTCCATCTCTGAAGGTGGAGATAAAACTACAAACTCAGTCAACATTCAGCGGAAGTAACCAAGGTGAAGGAAATATCCTCCGTACAAGGTGACGTATCACAACAACTCGTCTTTCACTTCTTCTTAATCGACTGAAACTCGACATCAACACGCGCTGAACTGAAGGGAATTGTGGGTAGTGAGGCAGTTAGCAGCTTGTTGGATCAGTCAGCACACTGTCCACAGCTAAAGGTGGCAGATTATGGAACAAATGAAAAGCTATTTCCCCCTGAGGATTATTGAAGTATTTCTAATCTGAAAAGAGGGGAGGAGTTTTTTCAGGCAGGTTCGATAACACAGAGATCCACATTCTGGATTTCTGGTCATTCAGCTCTTTTCTGTGGACGTCTTCGAATCCATTTGTAGAGCGCTAATAAATCACAGTGACTTCTCTGCTACACGAGCTGGATACCAATACTCAATTTACAACATAACTAAGTCGTGTGAGTAAGAATAATGTGGCAATTATGAAGCCATATGGCTGACTTCATTATAAAACAGTAAAGTCAGAGGTTTCATACTAACAGAAATGGAAAAATACATTTAATTAAATATATCTAAGCTGACATATGGAGGCTGTATTATCAGAGCGCTCAGATATGAGGTGTTGTAGGAATACATGCAGATAATAATCGCTCTCTCACACTCGTGCAGCGGTGAATGGAATGAATAAGGATGAAGCCTCTCTCTGCTCTTCAGGATAATGTCCTGTCAGACACTCTAAACTCTCCGCTCACTGTATAGAAAGAGCTCTCCTGCTGATTCTGAACGGACGACACGATCAATACGGCGTGTTGATCCTGAAGTTGTTAAAACCTGAGATACACACTCCATAAAAGTGAGCAGATCCTTCACAGAGAGGGTCGAAAATCATCTTTATGAAGAAAAACACAGAAACCTGCTGAGTTTATCTATACTGCAGAGAAGACACGATCATTACATAATCAGGACGGAGAAAAGCTTAAATGATACTGTTTAAAATCAATTTTTCACGCTATGCCTCATCTAACGTCCTCGGGGAGTTGACAAATGTAAAACTAAAGAAGAATGAAAACATAATGAAGCTCTCACAGCGACAGAAACAACGTCGCCGAGAGCTGCAGGCGCTGAAAACATTTGGAGATGAGAAGGAGAAAGAACGAGTCGCCAGAAGGTAGAAAATGAAAACATGAAAACATGATGAAGTAAACAAAGTCATCACAATTAAGCGCTCAGATTCACAGAATACAGAACCTGAGGGACGCCTTTTCAGGGACTCGAAGATAGACGGACCTTTTGGGGTTTGAATCATAGAGAGTGGTTTTCCTGTCGAGTTATAAAGTATTTATTAGAGATAATCAAACCGTTCGATCAGAGGCGTCAGCAGACAGACCCCACAAAACCTTATCATTTAAAGACACGTCAATAGTCGCCAAATTCAGAGGAAGTCTGTGGAAGTGAAACCTCTTCATGACTGACTTTTAACAGTGAAACTGAGACTCACAACAGACTGACAGACAGACAGACGGGGACTAGAGGAGGTATCAGGAGTCAGTCAGGACCAGGATCTGAGTCCAGAAGAACTGGAGGATGTTGGTTTACGCTCAGATATGAACATTTATACGACACGGAGAGAGGACACCGCTCAGCATCTGTCCTTCTCTCTTCTGCAGTGTTGTCATCACCTATGGAGCGGTACATTCGTGTGCAATAATAACCCCATTAGTGTAACCATGGCAACGGTGCACAAAGAGCAGCATGCCTGAGTTATTCCCTCCGTCGTTGAAAATCAAAGTTGATGTGATGAATTTTTTAATGTTGGTGTTGATTTTAAACCTTTAACTTCTGCGATGGTTAAAAATATCTGACGTAGATGTCGGTGAATAGATGCTGCAGGTGTTCATGTTGCGTCGGCCTACAAACTAAATCTAAATCTGTCTGTGTTTGTCATTCTCTGTTCAGGCTCTCACATAATATTTGGATTTTAAAACCAGATTTTCATGGTCCTGGATCGGTCTCTTGAGTTTTTGACACCTGCTGCAAACCTGAACTGACAGTCCCATCAGGGTGATTCATGGCTGATTGTCATGTTTGAGTTGAATGACAGCTTTCCCTCAGTGATCAATCACAGCAGCAGCAGAAGCCCGGAAACTGGAAACAGTCAGTGTGCAGCAAACAGTAATGACGGTCTGACAGAGGAGGAGGAGGAGGAGGAGGAGGAGGAGGAGGAGGAGTGAAAGTGTGGAATAAATTCTCCTGGCGTGGCGTCTCATGTAAATGCTGAACCCTGCAATCATAGGTGAAGGTCTACCTGCTGAGCAGACAGCAACAACTCCTCATTACTGTAATTGTGTTTTCTTCCTCTCTTCGCTCTCGGGGGAGGGTTGCTTATCTCGCTGACATTTTCGCCGCAGCGTGGACGGTGAGCGCAGAAGTCAGGGTATATATGTTCACTGACTGTGAGGCTGAATGTGGGGGACATATTTCTTTATTTTTAGACAGAAATAAACTTCATGGAAGAAATAAACAGAGTGTAAATAAAACCATCTCAGAGCAACAGCAAGTAAATCCCTATTTGAACTTGTGTCTTCTGAACGTGAACACGTTTCCCTGCAGTCCTCTTTGCTGTCTGTCTTGTTGAAACTACATGCAGAAGAAAAAAAGACGTGCAACTCTGCAGAAATGCATCATGGATTATTAACGCAGAAATCTTTTGATCAGCAGCTCTACAAACTGTTTCAATCAGAGCAAACCTGATCCTCTTCATGCTCTCTCTCTGATTTATTTACAGAAACTAAAAAACTCAAACATGTTTTCTGGGAGCACAGTTTTTTGCGTCATGAGGTCTGACTCATGCCTCCTGCAGGCTTGTCCGCGGTGCACCGAGGTTCAGGCTCTCCCATCCTCACATTTCTGTCCTCCCTGACGTCATAACTGTCTGGCCTGCGTGGAGCATCCTTTCTTTCCTCTGATTACATCTGACAGGCAGAGGTTTACTTAAAAAAACGCGCAGATTTACACCACTGGCTACTTCTTTGTAACACAGTCCATTAATCACTGCAGTGCAGATGCTTTGGCAGCAGGATGCGCCCTGCATAAATCATCCGTCTGGACTATTACCCGGTCAGATCCAAGTCTGACATCTTTTCTTACCGCAGGAAAACAGTCTGGTTTCTGTAAAAGAAGAAGGTTTTTTATGATGTTGTACAAATCTGCGACCATGTCAGCAGATACTTCAGGAACCAAGGACAGTTTTTTTCTTTTTAAGTGTCTGTCTGAGTGATTTCCTGTCCAAGACTTTATTTTCTCATGCTGGTCACTTTCTACAGTCTGAGAGTAACTCAGAAAGTAAAGATGTTGTCAGAGTGGAGGAACATTTTCTGTAAACGTGTTTTTTAAGGATGGAGACGATGCTGCAGAAGGAGAAACAGGTTTTAGGACGACTTTATGGTGCTGACACCTCCTCTCTGTGATCTGAGCTCAAAATTCACCTGAATAACTGGTCAACTGCTGAGCAAGAGACGGCTATCAGACATCTAGTTTTTTTAGACCTAATTTCAACCGTCTAGAGTCAGAATTTAGACGTTGTACTCTAACCCATTGTACTAAACCAAAATAATTATGACAGCCGTTGAGCAATAAACATCGTCGTGTAGACATAGTTCTGAACGTTAATTTAGACGTCTGAAAAACTTTCATTTTTAGACCAGTTGTCTCGCCTACATTTAGACGTCTATCTGACCTCTTTTAGACCCAGATTGAGATTTCTCAAAGTCCTCTAGTGAAGTGGTTTCCA